ATTAGATTTTTACCTTTGCAAAATCTCTTTGAATTTTCTTGTTCCAAAAATGAAATTTTGTGGGATGCCTTTTTGATGACAACTGCTGCAGCGAGCCAATTTCAGTTACTCCTACCAACAGCTTCTTCACTTCTAAACCTTAATATCCTACAAGCCCAGCAGTTTATCCAGACTCTTAATGGCTTACTCCAAGCACCTGGAAGGAGCAGGTCTTCAGTAGCATGCTTGGTTAAAGACTCAGAAAAATCAGCCAATGCTCCAAGTTGATGATTCTTCAACACCAATAGTTCTGATTTAACTCAGTGGAAATACAGGAATTAAGGTGCCTGGACTGTGTGTTTGTTCGGTGTTGGTTCCTGCTCTGCATGAGCCATCTCTCATTAAGGATGGGCCATTAAGGTGGCTGCACTGATGCTGAGCACCAGGGTTTTGAAAGGCTTGAAGCATCCAATTCCCTCATGCTGGTGCCTTGTGAGGTGGTTTTGGATGGGAAGCAAGGTGCAGAGATGCACTGGCTGAGTTTGTGGGAGGCACGTTAGACCTGAAGCCCAAAGAGCCAGGTCAGTCCAGTGCCCCACTGGTGCCAGGCTCTGCCGAGAGAGCAGAGAGGCTGCTCAGTCCTCAGCATGGCACTGCTCACCGCTTCTTTGCCAAGCATCTTATCAAGCTGTATCCACATTACACACACCTCTGGAAAAAGGTATCTTTTTATTTCAAAGATGCCTGAAATGCACCTACGCAACAGTAAAAGTTTCACAACCGAAATGTAACTACCATACTTGAACATTGCCCAAATCAGATTTCAACAGTACATTTATAAAGACTAAAATTTGAAAATGAAATAGATGTTGAAATATACTTAGAAACTAGGTGACAGCTATCAAGTGGAGTCCCTCAGAGCTCATGCACCTTAATTTCCTTATCAGTGTCTGTGATAAATCCTCACAATCTTCACTACTGAAATGTGCTGCTATCATAAACACTGCAGGCAGAATAACTACACAAGGGGAGAAACCTCAGGGGTGAGGACTTCATCCAGGACTACCAGGCTGTGGCACGTGTAGAAATCCTGCCCAACGTGCCAGCATACCCACCCAGGCCAACTGTGAACTTCTGCAATGAGTCTGCAGCACCCCACATGTGCCCAGAAGGTCCAGTACTACCCGGACAGCACAGGGTTGCATGTGCACATGTATTGTTTGGGAATCCCTGAACAGAAATACTGGAGGATGTCCATCGAGCAACACATGACAGTACTGCAATGGGCTCCATCATTGGAAGTGATGGCTTGGAATAGATCCTGGATAGCAAATGACCTGAATTGAAGCTCCTGCTCTGACACTGCTGCACAAAGGGTTAATGGTCAATTTCCCAAGGTGGGGGACCCAGACAGGCCGAGTCTGATGTTCTCCATCCAGAAGGGCTATTACCAAACTGGGCAGGCTCCAGAGGAGAGATGGGGAATGGACTCAAGAACTAGGAAACTGGAGTCATAGCAGGGCATTCAAGAAATGCTATTTATTTAGGTGCACAAAGAAAATGTACTTTGATCTCAGACTGTACATAACTCATAGGAAGAGAGCAGTAAACTCAGTAGCAAAACAGATTCCTACCTGTTGTGCAAACTTCAGAAGAGCAATGGCTGGAGACTGAAGCAAAACCATCACAGGCAAATTATGACAGAAGCAACACACCATGGTTTGTTTCTCCACAACTGACCATTTACAAATGAAATGAATGAACAAGAAGGTCTTTTAGAAAGCAAACTAAATTTCATGTAAGAACCTCCATTATCCTGTATTATGCTCCTCTGGTATAATTGTCCTTCTGGCTCTACAATCTGGGAAACTACTTAAAATGTCCACAGACAACTATTAATATATTTAAATATTTTCAAATGGATGATGCTGCTAGAACTGGCCCCTACACACATACACACATGTGCGCGCACACACACACATGCAGAGGGCAGGTACAGTTTTTCATTATAAACATTAAGCATTTCCTCACATTGGCCTGGCAATGATTCAAACATTGCCTTAACTGACTGCTCGACTGCTTAATTGAAATTCCATTCAGAGAGCTCACTTCAATTCTACTGTGTCAGACAGGAAGCCTGTCATGGTCAATAGTGCTTGAGTGAATTAAGACCACCTAAATGGGTCCATACTTAGAGCAGAGTAGATAAAGGGTTATCTTGGCATAGAAAATGGAGCACTTCACAGTACTTCCTCTCCAAGAATGATGAATTCATTTATTACTTTTTGTTGGTTTTTAAAGATCATATTTTGCATTAGATCATTTCTCACCATTTGTGAATTATGAACTTACTTCTACAAGTACTCATCAGGAAGAAAGAAGATGAAGCCGACATTAGATGGAGTTCAGCAAAGACTTTTTGTTTTAAAATAGGTCAACTGCTTTAGTAGTAGGAAACAGATACTATTTTTGGTATACAGACATTTTCAAATCTATGATTCTACAACCACAAAATATAATGCCACTGCTGGACAACACCCTAAGCCTTTTCTCCTTTTTGCCACCTTCCCAAGTAATTAGTCAGGTTCACATTCTTGAAACTGGGACCTCCACAGCAAGGGGCATGAGCCCTTGGCATTTGAGCTGCAGGACTACGGCCAGGTTTCCCAAGCTGGGCTGGTTCATTCTGTGGCTTTCTCTAGGTAAAAAAAAAGAGGAGGCTGCATTTCTCAGTGTGCCCTGGTGGGGTCAGGCCCATAACTTCTGCCAGATTTCAATGCAAAGCTAGACACCAACTTGAGAAGCCCAGAGGTAGTTGTTTAGTTCAAATACAGTGGTGCTGATAATATAAAACCCGCTTTTGAGAGGAACAAAGGCTTGTGGTGTGCTCTGTGTGCACAGAGCCACGAGCAACTTCCTCCACACTTTATGTTTAGTTTTTCCATTGAATGGAGAAGGCACTCGCTGGCACTTGTCTTTCTCCGTCCTGCTCTGGGTTTGCGAGGCAATATCAGAACTAACACTCTGTAGGCTGATGCCGTCTCGGTAACCTGGCTTTTGAGTCTGCTGATTGATAAAGTATTCTTAGGAGAAATATGACACTTAGAGGGGTTTATCCAGCAGTGGTTGGACATATTTTGTGCAAACGAGACTACTGCAAAGCCGTAATATGTGGTATGTGGTCTCTTACCTAGTTTAGCTCCAGAGCAGGGGGCTCCTGCTAAACAGGAGAGAGCTTGTGCTGTGAGTGAGAATAAAGCTGGGTTAAATTTGTAATTTTTCAGCAATGCCACTAGGGGCAGAGTTAAACCAACTCAGATAATTTTTTCCTTCTTTTTAATTAATCTTCTCCTATTACAGATGAAGCAATGCGATCAAAAACTGCTCATTCGAATGAAAACTAAATGTGTACCTTGCTCTTTAAACCTCGAAACCCTGTGCCCTGCTGGTTACACCAAAATAACCAATGGGACTGGGATACCAGACTGCAGGTATACCTTCTCTCAGAGCTTCTTGCTGTGAATATTGTTCTCAATGAATTAGAAAATGTTCATTCATATTATAAATGCTCTATTAGAATACAATTTTCTTAAGGAACATTAACCATTGGCTACACTAACACCAGAACTCAAGCTTCACTCAGAGTACTTTAAGCCTAAAGTTAATAAGCAAATGATATAAGAGGAAAATAAACATTGCTATCAATGGCCTATCAGATTTTCTTTTGAGTGATATAATAAAAGCACCTCCTTGTTTGTTCTGCATAGCTGATATGGATGATATATAAATATTATATGATAAACACATAATAAAAAATATATTTTTATGCAATTCATATCATATATAATAATATAAATAACAGATTTTTTCAAACTGACAGACTGGGGAGGTTTGGGGGATGAGGGACCGAAAGAAATATCTCAAAATAAATGTGAAAGCTTGCTTTCAGATAAAAAAAAAAAATGAAATAAAGAAAAACAGTATTTTCGGGAAAATGTAACTATTTTGAGCTTACATAGCATTTAAAAGAACCTTGATATGAAATATTTTTTAATGCTATTTCAAATCAGAACTTGGGGAAAACTGCTGTATATAGGTTGCAAAAATAAAAAAGATAAATATACTATGCAAAAGAAACATCTTCAAGGATCTTTTCAGACCTTGATGTGCAGTGTATATTTTAAAGAAGAAAAAAAAGCAAATCAATATGACTAAGCTTAAAGTGCTTTTATCTGACACTGAAAAGAGAAGAGGAGGTTAAGAATTTCACTTTTCCCACAGGAGGCTTTATGTACTTTAAAGCAGCTCCAACTTCTTTTCCTCAGGTATTATTTAGAAATTAAAACACACACACTTTCTTTCCCGGGATGTCGGCATCATTGTATGAAGGAATTTGAACAACCTGAGTGCTGCCAGGGACGCTGGGGCACAGACTGCATAGGTAAGCTCTTTTTTTTTTTTTTTTTTTTAAACAGAATTTGAGTAGAAGTAACACAGGAATATTTCTTGTTTTCAGAAACTATTTCCATGAGAAGTTTGCTCCTTGGAGTTTATTATAGGAGTAGAAAAAAACAGTAGTTTTCAGACAAAATTTAGAGTATTTGGAGAAAAACACGTATTCAAAACTTAATTTAAAAAGAGAAATCAATAGAAAAATTCCAAAAAAATTCAGGGACCCCCCTGGGTTTTGAGATTTTCAAAACAAATAATTTCAGTCAATACCTGCAAAATGACTTTTCATTTGGGAAGATCCCTACAATGGATTTTAGAAATAAACATTTTCAAACCACAAGTTTAAATGTTTCACTTTAGGTCAAAAATACCCTCATCTTCATCTGAAATATTTCCAAATACTTTAATTCTTTACTTTTTGATGCAGGGAAGGTCTTTTATTTCAGCTCAACTTGAAACAGTTTTTCCCTCCAAGTTTTTTGAACCACCAGCAAATGCCAAAGGCCATTACTGAAGCAGAGGTAACCAGGTAATCAGTGCCTCTCCTCCCGATGCCCCTTCCTCAGGAAAAGCCTTTCAGCATCTCCACAAGCGCATCAAACCTCAGGCTACTGAGGTGGGCATCAAGACCCACAGAGGCAGTTTCTTTGCTCAGAGAGAGCACTTCCTCCTTTAGTTAATGGGGTCAAGGCCTGGTTCAATGTCTGTGAAGTCCTTTTGTCCACAAAAGAGATGAAAAAATATAATTTTAGCCCAAGCTATGATTTAAATACCATTTATCTACTACAATAAAATAGTCAAACCCGGGCTTATAGATGCTTCTGTAGAAAAGATGGGCAAGTAGCTGAGTACATAGTATGTGGTCACATCTTCTTCTGAAGACAACCCTTGTGTGGTGATTTACCACCTTTCCACCAAATGCAGCCTATGTGCCCAGTAGGAGGAAGACAATGCTACATGTGATCATCATCTCATACTTCAGGGTACTCTGGGAGGCCACACAAGGGACATCGGTATTTCTAGAGAGGAGCAGAGCTCTGTGTCCCTGAGCTGGAGCCCTGCCTGCACCACTGCAGGCAGGAGGCTGCAGAGGCAAGGAAGACCTCTCTTCTTTCAGACAAACTTCCTGTCCCCAAAAAGCAAAGAATCAAGGTCTCAGCATTATTTCTGCTGTTATATGGAGGAAGAAAATAGCTCTTTGCATTATCACAGTCTCTCCAAGAGCATATGGTGCGCCTTGAAATGTTTGGAGGAAAGCTGGTCCTTCCTGAGGCCAGAGAAAAATCCCTGACTAGGAGTTTACTTCTTTACTTCTCATTTAACATCTGATGGCAGTGAAAAAATTAGGTCTTAAGTAGCTCTCTGACTTCCTTAAATGATAGCACACACTGAAACACACAGCATGAATGAAAGATGTTTCGTCCCTTTCCTCCCCACCAAGCATCCCAAGCCAAACAACCGCACACCCATCTCTCTGTAAAAAGGTGTCAAGGAAACCTTGAAAGGAAAAAGGGAAAAGTATGGGGAGGGGGAAAGGTCCAGGGGAAAAGAGCACAGCATTTTAACGCTGCCAGTATCATAACCACAGGCATCACAGCCGGTGGAGCTCAGATGCCCCACATATGTAACTGAT